AGCTCTGCCCAAGGCCACACTCACCTCCACCTAGCTCTGCCCAAGGCCACACCCACCTCCACCTAGCTGTGCCCAGTGCCACACTCATCACCACCACCCCATTCTTCCCAGTGCCACACCCATAACCACACCAATCACCACACCCACCTCCACCTAGCTCTGCCCAAGGCCACACCCACCTCCACCTAGCTCTTCCCAGTGCCACACCCATCACCACCACCTAACCCTTCTCAATACAACATCCATCCAACCTCAACCCCACCCATACCCATCACCTCCTTTGCCTATCCTTCCCCTATTACCCCACCCAACCCCCAAACCAAGCCCAAAGTTCACCCCTCTTCAGCCACCATATCCAACCCCAACCCAACCTCACCTTTCAAATGGTGCATCAGTAACCCTCTTGTCCCTGTACAAGGCCAAAGTGTCGTGCCTATCTGCTCCCAGCAGGAACAAAAGGGGGCGTGTTTTGAAATGAAATTGACAGTCATTTGTTACGCATTCATTGCATAGGCGCGCAAGTTTATGTGCGTTTAGTGCAGGGCATGCTGAGTACGTGCAACAGATTTATACCGGGTTTATGGTCCTCACGCGTATGCCAAAGGTGTGCGCAAACCCATTTGGAAAACTTAGTACCGGTCCATCTTTCTTTGGCTAGTGAGGGTGCACGTCAACTCTGGGCAGATAGTTGGCCCAAACTGCCCTGCCCGTTATTCCCTTTCCCTGTCCCCCCAAAAACCATCTCAGCTTTTTGCGGTTTGGTGGATTCAGGGAACAAATATAATGTAATGCAATATACATTAATTTCAAGTGCTCTTGGTGAACACGATTCAAGCGTTCTCTGACACATTTCCGTCTCAAATCAGGATCACAGGACAAGGAATATGAAAGCAAGATTACGCCATTCATCCTTGAAAGCCAATCTTGACAAAGACAATAAGTGAGTAAAACCAGCGAATAAGATAACAGGTAAAACAAAGCACACAGACCCACTCTTAATCCTCAAGTATCCACCAGTATTGTGACAAAGTGTCTTGCTGATGGACACAAACACTGTTACACCGCTGCTCTTGTTTAATACTTGGCTGTACAGTGTACTCTTTACACCATACACCGAGTTCACAGTGTTGATCTTCAGTGCTAAAAACACTGATCATGGTCATGCCAGTTCAATTCACCAAAGTTAAGCATGCAACAGGCATGTCAATTTTCTCGTAATAGTACAGTATTTCGGGCTTTTTGAAAACTTCCACTGCAGTAGGCAGCATTTCCATGCTTTTACATACAACCAGATTTCCCGATAACTTGTCAGAGTCCATGTATGCCTCTGATTCAGCACTGAAATTGGGTAGGGATTGTGGCGCAGAGAGATGCGTCAGTCTCAGGTAATTTTTTTCATAGGATCACAGCTGATTTACAGTGTGCTTTCGTTATTCAGGGAGTACATGAATACCTTGAGGGAGTCGATCATCCTGAAACAGAGTCGAGCTGAACGCAACCTGAGCAACCAGCAATGGCTGCAGGAACACGAGATCAAACTCCACAGGTAGAGAAATGCTCATTCGTGGTCCATTTCTTAAACCGTAGAAATTTGTCTCTCCCCCCCCCCAAAAAAAACTTTGGCGGTCGTTGGATGCTACTCCACTGCAAAAATTTCCCATCACGTTGAGCATGTCAGCTGTGTGGACCATAAAATTTGAAACTCATGGAGCCCCACTGGATGTTCATTTACATCTCGGGTGTTTCCATGGCAACAGGGAGAAGGAGGAGTCACTGCAGGAGAAGAGCCGGCAGCTGCGTCAGGACATCGAGGACGAGAATCTCCAGTGGCAACGGCAGCTGATGTACCAGTCACTGACAGTAAGGGATCTCTCAATTGGAAGAGTCACTTCATCTCACAATTCACTCCTGTTAAAAGTTGTATATGTGATTGGATCCGACAAAATGAGCCTTGACGTCTTTTTTTTTAGTGATTGTGTCATAGTTTGCATTAGAAGCAGCCCACTGAGGTTTTTGTTTTCATCTATCACTCAGTTTGGCATCCTGGTGGCAATAGGCATTGTGTGGGTAAAAATGTAGAGAGGTCCTGCTAATTTACACCATGCAAGATTCTTTTAAAAGTTTTACGCAAACGCGGTTCGGGTGAGTTGTGACTCATTTTGTTATATTGGGTTGCATATTTTAATATGCAGTTTGCGCCATCATTCCATCTATTCCCTTTGATTACATAATCTGATTGGTTTATCCTAGGCCCAAGAAAGAGCAACCCAACAAGCCAACGAAACTGTTCAGTCCAGAGCCAACAGGGCCCGTCTGGCGAGGAGGTCACGAGAGTTGACTCAAAGGGAATTGCGGAGGAGGTAAAAACATAGATGCAGGACCCAAGTGTCTACATCTGCTTCTCAGGGATAGCTTGATGGTCCAAGAATAAGAAACGTCATACTGGTGGACAGGTGGTACGCGGGTTGCATGCCGTAGCAAAAAGGGGTTATTGTGGCCTGTGGCCCACACCACAAAACTCTTGACATGTTTAAGGAGGGTTTCTTGGGCAAGCACAGAATGCTGCATAGCCCTGGCTAAGGATTTTCATTGTTTGCTCGATGTTTCAGAGTTGAGGAAGACGAGGCCCTGGATCGGGAGCACACCAGGATGAACCTGGCCTACAAGGACATGAAGAGCCAGTCTGTGGCCGCCCAGAAACAGGAGGTCATCCAGAGGTCGAGGGTCATCGCCATGGAATCGGCCAAGCTCAGGGATCAGATCAGGCAGCAGTACCTAGGGTGAGAGGCTGGTAAAACGTGTTTGGGGCGTCCATCTTGGATTCTTATCCTGTTTGATGTCACCTCAGACTACACCAAAGGTGTACATTTGTTGCTTGTAACTTGACACGAGATGGCGGGCGATGCGCAGTTGCCTTGTGATGCAGTAGAGAACATTGGACACTCTGCTTTCACACGTGCACCAGCGCAAAATTTATTGCAGTTATTCTATGACAATGTGCTTCCCAAAAGGCTTTGCAATATCTGTACTTCCTTTCAACAAAATTTGATGAAAGGGATTAGACCTTCCCAGCATTGTGATTTAAGGTGGTGGGTATAAGCAGATATCTGGAATTCCTCAACATTTTGTTGTTTTTGTCTTGGGCAGGTCTTTTGATCAGATGGCAAAGAGGGCGGAGCTCCTATCCAGCCTCGGCAGGGGACCTCAGATGTCCACTAAGAACTACACCACCTTCTCTCTGACCTGACCTCTGCCCGGGAGTGACTCAGGTCACATCCACCTGGAGGAGCTTTGTGTTAGAACTTTCAAGGTAACGAGTGAAAAATAGACTTGGTATGACAGTACACCTGTTGGGTTGTGTACACTAATGGAAGCCAAAAGGCCATGGACCCACCAGCCTAGTGATGTTTATTAAAGTGAGAGTGATTCACCTTATAGTGCGCCACCAAGATTATCAAGGAGAGGTCAGTTTCCCAATGTATCATGGGAAATTGTTGACAACGGTACTCCACTTACATTAACTTTAAGACTTTAACTTGTAACTCACATAGGGTTTGCTAGACAAGAGCAATTTTTGTTCATTTTTTGTGCATAAATAACGATACATGTATTTGCCATGATCCAAAGGTGTCTTTGAAATTTCTATTTTCACACACAACAAATGGACGCTTGAAAACAGCAGATGTTGGCGACTACAAAATTGAAAAGCGGCCCCCTCAAGGCCGATGTTTGACGGTGCGCAGTATTGTGAATTTCTCATTTAAAACTCCGCAAAGTATCCACATTTGACTCGTAAACTTTTCAACTAAGAAACAAAAACACTTCTGCAGTTGTTAATTCTTTTGGCAAATGTACAGCTTTATTTCATTTCTTCTATCTTCCCAGCTCATTCACATTTTAATATTTCATAGTACTCATTCGATATATACTGTAATCCGCACTGCATACAAAAATAAAATTGAATAATTTCTTACTCCATCATATCACATGAATAGCATCCATTAAATGTGGTTACCCTCAATCAAGTATACAAACGATATTTAAATTACCAATTACGAAGACAAAAATTTCGAAAAATGTGGCACATATGCAGTCCACTGAGTTCCATTTCACCCTGATTTTTCACCATAATTTGAAAATTTTTGGATTAATTCTCAAGATTCGTTGTTGGCTTCTGTTGTACAGTTTCTACAAGAAGCCAGCGTCCACTTCAATTCTCCTGGGTTTTCCTGAAAACACACCAGAAGCTCTTGGAGGATTTTGGAAGGACTGAGGAAGGTAGAGCCTGGCCGTTTATACTTCACGTGGGTTTTTCACGCCCCTTGAAAAGTGGAAAGTCGATAGAAATGTTCCATTGTTTCTGTGCAAGAGTGTTATTTACCATTCAAACATTCCAGGCTAGAAATCCAAGTTCCAAACGCATTATAGGGCTATGGATATCCTCACTGCTAAGGGAACTGTGATAATACTTTGAATTGTATATTGTGGTCAATGAAAATGATATTTATTTCAATCAACAAACTTGCATACGGTATCATAACCAGGTCAGAAGGGAAATTAATTGTTTGACAGATGTCTAAGCTGCCAATGTCGACAATCGCCAACTTGCAAACAAAGGCAAAATCTTTCAGATGGGGTTTCCCCATAAAGCATGGATGGAAATAGGCATCTGTGCTTGGTACAATAGCTTTGAGATTTTAAGAATGTCTAAATAGATCTAGAGAATGTAGCATTGATCTTCACTGTACTGAAAAACTTGTACAATTTATTCTTGCTTGGATCTTTACTGAATATAATCAAATACACAAAGTTAACACCTTGAGTCTCTCACAAAGTACTCCGGCAAAATTTGAATTTTCCAAAAATATCACTTCATACTATTACAAATAGGCAAAATGTAATACGGACAAACTATAGCCATCTGTAAGGGGTCAACCCTGCAGTTTATAAAAACCGGGCAAAACTTGATTTTGGTCAAAAATTTACTTCTACAAAAAAGCAACATTAACACCTTTTTTCTGTTATTAATAGTTGGCAAATGACAGGTTTTACCTCTGATCTGAGTTAAGTAAAAGTAAAAAATTTGACTCTGCATGGATTTAACTGCAAGGGGTTACTCTTGTATTTTTATTAAGTTCGGACAAAATCTGATTTTGGTCACAAATTCCAATCTATAAGGGGTTACTCTTGCATTTTGTATTACATTT